ACAGCAGGGGGTGTGTGTGGGTTCACGAGGTCTCCCCGGCTCACTCTTGGTATTGGCGGTGGCCGGTGATGTGCTCGATGTAAATGTCCCGGGACCAACGGATTATTCAACTGATTTCATCCTGTAACATCTGTTACACATTCATCCATCTGCAAAGATGGTCTTTTACTGTCTCCCCTCATCACCCCCCCTTCTTCATCTATTTTAGATTACAAACCATTTGGGACACGGGGACAGATTGTATCTTTGCACGTGTTTGTACAGTACAATGCAGGGCGCTAGGGTATTTTAAAGATGAACTCATAATAATAATTCACCCTGTGCTAAAATGCAGCTGTTTCTGGGTTGGGGCGCAGCAGCTCTGTATACAGGGAGCCTCGCACATCTGGGACAGGGCAACTGTTCATGAAAAGATCTTTTTGTTTGGTCGCTGAGATGCAGCCACCTCTGGGGCAGGGCAGCTGTTTGTTTAACAGCCCACAACAACAGGTTTGGAAAGGGAGTGAAAGCTCCCTGCCCCGAGATGGTTCCTGTTCCTTGCTCGCTTGCTTTTGCTCCAGGCAGTGGGTGTTGGGCTTGATCCTTTTGCAAAGTCACAACATCTAGGCAGGTAGAACTCCAGCTCTGCTTCCTTTAATCATTGACAAAAGAGGTTGTGTTGCTGTGTGGGGGCAGAGCTGGACTTGAAACTCTTCCTGCCAACCCCCTCCACCTGCCTTCAATCTCTCGCACGCTGATTCTCTGTAGCAGGGGGCAGCACAAACACACACACACACACTCTCTCTCTCTCTCCAGCAGGGGGCAGCACACACTCGGATTCAGTCCAGCAAGCGACACTACAATAGACACAGACACACGCACTGATTCTCTCCAGCAGGGGGCAGTGCGCGCACACACACACATGCACAAACACACAGAGAGATTCTCTTCAGCAAGGGGCGGCGCGCAGACAACCCTGTGTATGCACACATACTGATTCTCTCCAGCAGGGGGCAGTGCATGCACACACACACACACATTGATTCTCTCCAGCAGGGGGCAGTGCACTCACACACACACACACACACACACACACACACAGATCCTCTCCAGCAGGGGGCACCACACACACTCACTCACACACACACACACACAGATCCTCTCCAGCAGGGGGCACCACACACACTCACACACACACACACACACTCACACAGGAGGCGGAGGATCCGTTAACCCCCCAGGATCGGCCCGGGGAGTCTCCAGGATTTGAAGATTAAGTTTTAATTCGAGATTATGGCGCTGAATGCAACCACCCGCCAACCACAACCCTACCGTGGGGGACAGGCAGGGGAGTGAGCCCCGTGTAGGACAGCGATGCGGGGGCTGGGATGGGGTGACCCGGGGTGAGCTCAGTGGGGTGGCAAGGAGCGGGGTGCCCCGGGG